GGACCATCGCTTCAATGCTGGTGGTCTTTGCTTCTTCCAGCACGCTGATGTTTGTCTGCCTGTCTTCCCAAGAGATTTGCAGGATTTTCCGGAGGCAGCGCTGATGGAATCATTCCAGGAGTTGCATGTGGCGTCTGTAGACAGTCCATGTCTCACAGGCATATAGCAGGGTTGGGAGGACAATAGCTCTATAAACAAGCACCTTGGTATCCCTATGGATATCCCTGTCCTCAAACACTCTGCTTCATTTGGAAAAGTGCTGCTCTCGCAGAGCTCAGGCAGTGTTGTATTTCGGTGTCGATGTTGACTTTGGTGGAGAGGTGGCTGCCAAGGTAGCGGAAATGATCAAATTGTTTAATGTTACACCATTAAGCTTTATCATTAAGCATTGGAGAGGGGTTGGCAGGTGTCTGCTGGAACAGCACCTTGGTTTTTTCAATGTTCAGTGACGGGACGAGCTTCTCGTATGCTTCTGCAAAGGTGTTTAGAATGGCTTGTAGATCTTCTTCTGAGTGCGCACAGACGACGTTGTCATCAGCATACTGGAGTTCTATAACAGATGTTGTTGTAACCTTGGTTTTGGCTTTCAGTCAGCTGAGGTTGAATAGCTTGCCATCTGTCCGATAGTCTAGCTGAGATGCAAGGTGTTACAGCAATTTACAATTACTGTACTACCAGACTTATTGTGTGTGACATCAGTGTATAGTTCCAGCAATACTGCTTTAAAATTTACCTTACATGATTGCTAATCCTAATGGAATTTTCACTCTTTTGCGGAGTGATTAGTGGATCACGTAACTTACCAAAAGTTGAGAATTTCTATTCTGAAGAATACACACAAAAGTATGCTTGTTTGCTTGCTAGATAATAGTTGCTTGCCTTTCCCCAATAAATGGGTACTCAACAACAGACTAAATTGATTATGCTTTTTGCCCTTTGTTTCTCCCCAGTCCTGGAACTCAACTGGTTTACGTAAACTTGATAAAAAGTACATGTGAAACAGATATTCCTTGGTAGACATAATATTAACATTTTGTTAAGCTTCATCTCTGCTTTTAAGTATTGATCACTGAATAATCAGTGCTTTTATTGGTGATAAAATGATATCTAGAAATAGGTTAACCAGTTCCGATTGAAAGCCATGAAATATCTTACTCCCAGACATTGAATTGGAACCTTTCTATAATGATCTGTATCTCCTGCAATAAGTACAATATATACAGACTAAAATATTCCACATTCCTCAATGCTTATTTATACAAAGTTATATGCTGATAAATATTAATTTCCAGCATTTTTTCAACAAAAGACTAAAAATGGTCGAACTCATTTAAGTTTTAATTGGTAGAGGTTAAGTGCTGAGTAAATTGAAATATAAAAGAACCAAATACCATGACTGGAATTCAAATATCATCGGTTCTGCATGGTCACAGTTGGATTTGACTAATGAACTGCCCGAGTTTATGACAAACAGCTTGTGAATACTTTAAAAAATTCATCTTGCATAATAATATAGGATGGACAAAGGGCTGATGAGAGTTGTGGTTTAGCAGTATCTTAGGTCCAGATTTTGCCATTCCCAAGTTACTAGTTATGATCAGTGGAGCAGGATAGACACCTGGAGAAGTGATTACAGTACTTGGCCCATCTGAAGTCCTAGAAATGGCTTTCACTCAAAAATCAATTTCCCCACCAGCCTCTTTGAACTTTGTGTGCTCATATTGTGGCGTACTCGTATAAATCAGATCGTATAAATCAGTGGTTCTCAACCTGTGGGTCCCCAGATGTTTTGGCCTCCAACTCCCAGAAATCCTAACAGCTGATAAACTGGCTGGGATTTCTGGGGACTCACAGGTTGAGAACCACTGGTATAAATCATACTATCAAATAAGTTTCGCCGGTTGTCTGCTGTTGCTTTCCTAGCTGTGGGAGGAGTTTGTGCATCTGTTTTAGCAAATTCCTAATTTCACAACTTTCAACAACCGCATGTGCTGGACTTGTTTTTAAAATAGTGCTAATTGAGACATCAAACCTAGTTTGCTCTTAAAGGGTATACATCTAGTTCTGCATTGTCCATAAGAAAAGCTGCTTCAGAGAATAACTACCCCCTTCCAATAATTTTATAAAGCTGTCCTTTTATCCCAAATGTAAGAGACTAATATAAATTCCATAATCTGTTTTCAGGTAATACCTGAGAATCAAGCATATATGCACAAAATTGGGAAGAAGCTTTCAAGATCTTCAGTTCACTTCATCAGGTTGAGACTAGGGAGAAGAGATGGCAAACGAAGACTGACATGATATTGAATGTATGATTACAGGATTTAAAAAATAGAATGGAATGAGAATCCCACAGACTTCAGCGAGTTTAAGCTTAGTGCACAGGTGGGAACCACAGTCTTCTGGAAATTGCTGAACTCAATATTGTCTGAGCTGCCTCTAGCAGCTGGGAGTGACAGTTCAGTAGCATCTGGAAAGCCTGATTATTTTGACTTCTGCTCTGTCAGGCATCATAAACATTTAAGTTATATCTAGAACTGTTGGGACAAATAATGGATGGTTTATTCTTTTAAGTTTGAGAACATAAAAATCATAATAATTGCATCTATCACCACAAAACTTCCAAAAACTTGTTGGTAGGCAGGGAGGAATATCATTTTTGTGTTGGTATTGGGTACTAGGGATAAAGTATGGGGCACTGGGGAACCATTCATGGCTTGTGAGTATTCCCAAAAAATCAAAAAAGCAAACTGATTTTATTATATCATTGTATATTATGGGACTTGTCCATCCATGGATATCGATATCTATGGCGGGTCCTGAAACCAAACCTCACTAGATACAGTAGTTGATTGGAAAGAAACACAGTCGATGCCCCTTAAAAGTGTGACTTTTGCTCTGGCAAATATCTTTTTCTTGGAGAAAAGAATCAAGTGTGTCGACATTCTCCTCAATAAAGTTCATTCCTCTGCTCCATTTTCAGTCTGGTTTTGTTCTCAAGTTTTCATTGCTAGGATGGTAGTGGGAAAGAAACACAGTCTATGCCACTTAAAAGTGTGACATTTGCTCTGACAAATGTCTTTTTCATGGAGAAAATAGTCAAGTGCGTGGAGATTCTTCTCGATAAAATTCATTCCTCTGCTCCTTTTTCAGTCTGGTTTTGCCCTTAATCTTTTATTGCTGGGATGGCAGTGGAAGGGTTATCCATCTATTTGCTGGTTAGCATGTGTCTGGAGAAGGGGAGCAGGAAATGCAATTTTGATTATTCTCTTGCAGCTGTTGGTGATTTTGACGCCCTTTATCATAATAGCTACCAGAATAGATCTCTTCCAGCAGACCAACCCAATAAATTTTAAGTTGTGAATTTTATCTGCATTTCATCAGTGGATTATAGCTACTATTTTAACTCTTTGAGTCATGTATGTCTTTTAATACTGTTTTATCTCATTTTAATTACGTCGTATCCCACCTTGAGCTGCAGGGAGAGTCGGATAATAAATTCATTATTATTACTATTTTATGGTATGGAGATTCTGCTGCAGTCTGGGGAGTGAGTGCAGAACATGGTGGTAAAGAACAGCTGCTAGTGCTGTTCCACGGATTCCATCTTGTTTTAAACCCATCTGCTAAAGAGCTGCGTGGAGTTTCCTTGAGTCAGTATCCTGACACATTTCATATGAAGGAGTGTACATGATAAATATGGTGCCTTGTATCAGTGATGAGCTGAATCAGGAAATGGGAAATGGAATGTGAGAAGATAATAGGGCTAATCAATTTTTAACTCAAACTGGTGGTAGTGACATCTTTGGACATGGCTGCACATTTGAGAGAATTATGTTCATGATTTTGGGTGCTAATTGAATCTTGACAGTGGGTGCCTCAGTGACTTTGTAGCTTTGAACCAGCTGTGGTTTCTTTTGAGTCAGGAGGCCTGGTGTTGGTCATCATTGCTCAGGTAATCTCCAAAGACAGTTGGAGGCTTATGGTGCTTTGATGATCAGCTGCTGGAAAAAGTTGGACAGGTTCAGGGGAATGTGTCATGTCAATTGCAGTGGTAACCTTTCTAAAAGTGCTGTGTGGCTCAGTGTCTAGGGCTGTTTTCCCCATATAGTTCACAGTGAAAGTTTTATCTGTAACTAAGACTTGGTTTCTGTTATATGCCATTTCTTTGAGTTGCACAGTAGTACTGAAAAGGTATTTAATTTTTTTAAGCTTCATGGGATATTTCTACAAATGGATTTTACTATACAATGTAAAGAAGTTATTGCATAGGAAAATGTGAGATGTCAAGGTGGCCAGCACCTTTACAAAAGAGACAGAATTGTGCTTTCTATCGAAACTATGAACTTACTTTCTATTTGGTGTTAGTGTTTGCTGTATTGATTACATTAGCGTTCTATAGATGTAGCACTAATGTATAAAATCAGCACTTGAGAGTTGTAGCCACACACAAAAACAGTGAAACTATTAGGAACTGCTATTTCTTTTGTTGATATGAAGTAGCTAAGACTAGTAACATTCGAGAATCTGTTCAAGACTATGCGTTTCTTGTGCTTTGTAAACCATTCCGTATATCTGTGTATTAAGATTGCTTGGAAGATTTCCAGATTAATGCTCAGTTTTCCTTGAACTTCATTGTAATGTGATGAATATCTTTGTATTTAAGGTGGGGAACAATCATTAGCTGTGATCACTAAAGCTTGCCGGTGACATGTTCAGCTGAGATGAAAATAAGGAGTTACCTACAACTTTGCATTTCACATTGTATATCCAGCACAAATACAAGTGCTTAAAACATTTCGATCCTGCCCCCAGTAAATCAGAAGGGAGCATTGTAGTATGTGTGCAGCGTGTACCTGTAATTACCCTTTTGGTATAGAAATCCATTTGGAGCAGTTTTGGTATTTTTTTCTACATAACATCTTTTTGAGTTCACACTTTGATGGTCAAGGGACAAAAATATGGCATGATCTAAAAGTAGTGTTTGTTTCTTTGTTTAGGAACTTAGTGACTTGGCCCGTGATCCACCAGCCCAGTGTTCTGCAGGCCCAGTTGGAGATGACAGTAAGTAACGAACAATGAGCTTTAGAGACTAACTAAACTAATGTGACCTATTCAAGCATTGGTGATGAGAAAGCCATGTGAATACTAAATCTTTTTTTTTTTCTTCTCTCCCACTAGTGTTTCATTGGCAAGCCACAATTATGGGTCCTGTAAGTATGGCATACTTTTTTTTTTACTGAAACATTAGGAATTACTCTATAAGATCACTTCATTCTCTCAAGATTCTGAAATAACAAGCTTGCATTCATAGCTGTTTGATTTAATTCATTTGAAATATTTATGTACAGCTTTTGACCAAGATTCCTGCGTGGATTGTACTAGTGATCCTCAAATGTAGGACTTGAGGTGTCTTAGACTCCCATTTTTCAAAACCTCAGCAGTTTAGCTAGTTTTCAGCGTTCTAGGAGTTGAAGTCCAAAACCCCTGAACAACCAGTTAAAAAACCTCTAGTTACATAGTAAAGTTCATTTCAGTGGATACACCCCATTGTTGTTTCTAAAATGCCTGTGAGAATATAAGGCTTTCATCTGGCATCTGAAATAAAGCAGTGTTGATGCCAAGCAAATCTTTCTAGGGAAAATGTTCCATAAACAGAGCTGAACTCTACTTTAGTTACATGTCAATTATTAAATAACTAAGAATTTTCCAGGGGGCAGGGTTTTTATTTTTTTCATCTGTATTTCCTGCTAACCTTGTAAAATGAAGCATTGTAACTTAAACATCTTATTGCTGTTTCCTGTCCTTATATTTAGCTTTCGTGAAGAATGTAGTCTTTCTGTTTTTATTCTGAGATCCATAGTTACTGCTAAGACCTCTGATTTATTTTACTCTAAACTTCCCTTCTCTGACAGAATGACAGTCCTTATCAAGGTGGTGTTTTCTTCCTGACAATTCATTTTCCTACAGACTACCCTTTCAAACCACCCAAGGCAAGTATGATTGAGAAGGAATAGTATATAAGAGACTTAAACATAGGAAATTATAATTACCATAAATATGCCCCTCACATTTTCATATACATTAAATACCTTAATTTATTTCAGATATATATTATATTTGTGATGTAAGCTTAACATATACTTCTGCTTCACACAACTGAAGGAACATAAACCATAATCCTAGAAACAGTGAAGTACAATACAGTTTGCAGCACTGTCAGTAGCTTGTTTGGACTCTCAGCACTTTGACAGGTATTTTTAATCAGATCAGAAGTGCCTGTGTGTTAACTGAAAACTCATGTATCTCTTTTAGGTTGCATTTACAACAAGAATTTATCATCCAAATATTAACAGTAATGGCAGCATTTGTCTCGACATTCTAAGGTCACAGTGGTCTCCTGCTTTAACTATCTCTAAAGGTTAGTAGTATTTATTTATTTATTTTATTTAAAACTTTTGTATCCCAATCTTCTCTACCTCCGTAAAGGGACTCAGACCGGCTAGTAGATTTGGATAAAAGTGCTTAACCATGCATATTTTCCTCAGTGTATTAAACTGTTACAATTTCAATTTAGCAATGCTGGAGTTGAGGAGCACTTGGATGTGAATCTCAAAACTACACAATGGGAAAGCTTTTCTTATGTTTTTATATTCCATTGATGGATTCTTGTGAAACCAACTAATGAGGCTTCTCATTTAACCATAAACACTCTTTTAGTTAAGTAACACCTCCACAGAAAATTACAACATAGGAAAGTGTAGCAAGCTTTCTATCTCGCTTTTAATTGATCTCATATACATGTATTTAATAAGTATGAGATGATTGAAAACAGTCTGGCTATTAACACTGAAACCCTTAGATATGTTTTCAGAGGAATTGAAAATGTAGGGTGTCATTTATATTTATTAATCATCACCAAAGGAAAGGTCAATTTGTATAAGAAAGTAACTTCAGTGGCTTTAATTTGAGTTGACTTAAGCTGTTTATCCAACATATAGCAAACTTTTTTGCAAGAAAACATTTGGACCTGATCTGCATTCATGCATAGGGATGAATAATGAATGTGTCTTCTGATGAACTGTTTACAATTCTTTCTAAGATGTTACTGTAAATGTTGTCTTGTTGCAGTTCTCTTATCCATTTGTTCACTGCTATGTGACCCAAACCCAGATGATCCCCTAGTGCCAGAGATTGCACGTATCTATAAAACAGACAGAGACAAGTAAGTACAGTAGTTCCCTTGGAAAGATGGACTTAGTGGAAATATTGGCTAGAGAACAGTTGACTCACTTTTGCTCTTCCTTAAATTGGAGACTGATTTGAATAAAATATTCTGTTTTAATATCCAGAGGATTCAGGAGGAATATAAAATACAAACTAGAATTTAACACAAGTATGTTAAATTCTTCTTTTTACATTATTATGAAACAGTTTTAAAACAATTGTGGTACATTAAATGTGAATTTTAGAGTGGGGTGGGAATGTTCAAGCTATTGATTATTCTCTTGACTCAATTGGTGCCTTCTGTTTAGATGTATTCGTCTCAAAAACCACCCACTGGAACTGCTTTCTGCTTCAAGTTTGCAATTAAATCTTGCCCATGTAGTCTTACAAGATCTGTTGGCTTGTCTTTGTTACTAAATATACTTATCCAATTAGGTACAATAGGTTAGCAAGAGAGTGGACAGAGAAATACGCTATGCTGTAGGGTAAGACTGTCTGCACTTCATGGTGCGTTAATGATTTTGAGACTTCAGCACTTGAGTGCAGCATGCTTTTAAGGCACTGTATTCACTAACAAAAGAATGTACCAGTTATGGAAATAAGAAGTTTAACTGCTTGATCTGTATCTAGTGTGAGAAATCCAATTTTTTTGCATGGCAAAACAAGTGTAGCCAAATATAAGAAGGTTTTTCTCAATATTTCTTGGTTCTGGATGTGTCCATCTGGTAAGTATTAGCAAGACCTCAAAGAAGATGACTTAGTAATAAATCCAGTTCAGATTGCTGAGCAGGTGAAAATCAGGGTTCATGAACTACAGAAACCTAGTAGGCATGTATGGATAGACACTAACATAACGGAGCATGTAAATATAGCACTGATTTTAATTCAGGAGAGTTCTATGCCATTCTCTCTAGCTCTGTATTTTTTGAAGGGGGGGGAGGGGACAGAGACAGAATCTTAAGTTTTAAAGGGCTTATTTGTGCTGTTTATAGACATTTGGAGTTTTGCATTACCTGCCATAATATTGTAACTGATTATTTACCTGCCCTTGCACATTAAAAGGTGCTTTCAGGTATGTCATGCTGTTTAGTGGTTTCACATGGTAGTGGTGATTTTGGTGTTTGTCCCTGAGCTATAAGTTCTGTGAAAAAGTAGTTGCAGCCAATCAGTACATAGCTGGTACTAGTCCCTGGGGCACTGCTCCTTAAGTTATCAATTATATGGTTTTTCCATAGTCTTCTCCATATGTAGGTCAGTGCTTAAGAATTTGGTGAACAGTAATAATATGTTGGGGTAGGGATATTCAACATAGTTGGCATGTCTATACCTCCCCACAACTGCTATTGTTGTTCATGGGCGAGGTTTATAGAATAGTGTTGATGTCACTTAGTTTCCTGTTTGTACCATTTAGGTTGCTTTGGCTCTGATAAGTAAAACTAAAGTGTAAGGGTATTTTGGGCCAGGAAGTCTAACAGGAAACTCTTAAATGACATCACCTTTCTGAATAAACTGGTTTGTTTGTTTGGAGATGGACACTATAATAATTTGTGTAAATGAAAACAATAAACTATTCTAGGTAAGGTGGGGTGGCAAGTATACTGTCCTCTAGATGTTGTTAAGCAGCCTTTCCCAAACATCCCTCACCATTGGCTAAATTGGGTATATCTTATGGGCATTTTATTACAGGGCCACACAATTCCTAACCTGATACCATACATCAAGTAAACTCAGTTCTCCTTATTGCCACAGCTTCTTTGTACTACGCATGTGAATTTTCTCCCAATTGAATCTGAATGTGATTCAGAAGCTTAATTTTCTAGATTTCAACGAATATGCTAACACTGCAGTAAATGAGCATGTTCCTGGAAAGCTTAAAGTGACTTTAAACGTGTGGGAGTTCCTTGATCATTTTTATTGCTGATTTTGTAGATTTGCTGATTTTGCTTAACATGTTTTCCTTTTTCAGGTACAACAGAATATCCCGGGAATGGACTCAGAAGTATGCCATGTGATGCTACCTTAAGTCAGAATAACCTGCATTATAGCTGGAATAAACTTTAAATTACTGTTCCTTTTTGATTTTCTTATCCGGCTGCTCCCCTATCAGACCTCATCTTTTTTTTTTATTTACCTCTATCCATTCATGCACATGCTCATCTGAGAAGACTTTAGCTCTTCCAGCTTTGGACAATAACTGCTTTTTAGAATCTGTAAAGTAGTTATACAAGAACAGTTGCCCAAGATTCAGAATTCTTTAAATGGAGCATGTGTGTTGTGGCCAATGTCTTCACTCTAACTTGGTTATGAGATTGAAATCATTCCTCACTGCTCTAACCGTTCTACTGAAGATATCACCCAAAGGGAGGGGAGATGGATGTTCAGTTTGCTCACATCACAGGGAATAACATTGCTGTAGCATCATCCATCTTGTTTTAAAACCTTCCAGTGTTAGAGACTGAGGTTTCATGACATACTTGTGCTCATAACTGGTATGGCTGGAGAATTGGTACAGAACTTGTAGCATCAGCAGAACAGAACACGTGATGTATCTTATGCATGTCAATAAAGGAATGACCAGTTCTTGTTCTACAGAGAATGGAAATTGGAAGTCCAACATCCCTTGTATTCCAGAATAGGGTCTCAGAACATTTTTGTAACTCATTTAAATTTTGTTAGGATGCCTGGAGCTATTAGTTAATCTATCTTCCACAACCGATAAATATAGCACTGAATAAATGATGCAAGTTGTCAATGGATGAGTGATCAACTAATAGCTCTTCTAGTAATTGATTTTATTTTCTTCAATAAAGTTACATAAACCAATGAGTTAGCTGCCTGGATTAATCAACATGGGAAACAAAATCTTTTGTAAAAACAAAGGTGGTTTTGTATATACTTGTTGGGATTTGCCTCATTGTTTGGCATCAAATAATGATGTGAAGTTAGTAGAGTGAACTTTTTGCCATGTTCAGTTATCAAACTTGGTCTGTGTTCAGGTTGACACATTGATCAGCCCTGGAGTATGCAGAACTAATAAGCTAATCTAGTAGTGTAGACTTTAGTGTGCTACACTAAAGGTACTGGGAGCCAAGAGTTCAAATATGAACTTGGGGCCCAGGTGATATATGTACTGGTGTGTTGTGGAGACCTTTCCAGATGCACCTAGCTTGTTGACTGAGAAGCTTTTCTTCACCTTGTACACTTAACAGCTGAAAGATCTTTATGTGGGAGTAATGAGGCAAAAACTGAAAAATAAAGTACTGTTTTGATGTGGGAATTGTCATGAGGTTGTGTTGAAGTGACTTTTCTATGTGAGATATTCACTATCCATCAAAGGACTACCATGCTGCCACTTACATTACTGAACATCAATGTTTGCAGTGGTCACTCATTTTGGTGGCTAAAATGAATGAATAAAGTCATTGCTACTGGGTTTTTTTGTTTTGTTTTGAGAAGCACTGTTTGTGCCACTCTTTTTTTCTCTTGATCGTGTTGATAATACAGTATCCTTATCTTTCTTGTCTTCCTAACACTCATGGTTTGTCTCCATCCTTTGTCTACCATAGTTCAGCACTTTCTAGTCCTGTACTATAAGTTTGTGTTTCTGTGACTTCTAGCTCCACTTTTGGCACTGCTTATAGTTTTGTGCATCCTAATTCTTTGTCTCCACATAACTGTGGAACCCTAGATGTAAAATAAATGTTCAACTGTAACTTTTATAAAAGTGGAACATGTAGTTTGACCATGGTTTGTTTCAACTTTAAGACACGGTAAATACCTACCTTCTGGGAGCATTCAGTTGCCTATTCAAGAAATGTTCCTCGCTGTTGGGCTTGTTTTGCCTTGGGAACCCAAGTATTTTGAGACTTTTTGGTTTTGCTGGCAATAAAAGCAACCTTAGAGGGAAACAGGCTGATTATTTGGGTGTAGCTTCTCTGTCTCTGCAATCAGCCAGCTGCCTAACACAGATAAACAAGCATGGCGCTGAGATCCTGAAGTATGCTGAGTAATAACAAATTGGAATTATTCAGCTCAAACTTAACATTGTGATCCTAATTGAATGAGGAGTTTAATCATGTGCTTGATTCTTCTGCTGAAGAATGTGGATTTAAACTTTATCTGGCTTATATGTGGTTGTAGTTCTAAGCACAGCATTGGGAAAAAACCCTCCCTTATTTGTTTATAGATGAGAGAAAAAAGAGAACAACTACTGATTCAGGCTTATAACCTAGGTATTTGAAACTGGAATGTAAGATTGAGAACAAATTGTTTTACAAATGTAAATATTCTTACTTAACAGGCATTTTCCATGGTGATGTGATACATTTGGGTTATATTATACAAGACTCCTTTAAGCTTGCATTTAATTTGCTGATCAGCTGTATAATCCATGTACAAATTTGGTGTGAAGCTTTACCACTATCCAATTTGGTAAAGCTTGTTAATACATACTGTAGTTATTATTTGACTAAGATGTTTCATTCTGCTTTCACCGTGTGGCATTGTCTGCCACACTGAGTAAACCTGCATAAACCTAAGGTGTAGCTAAATTGCATGACTAAAGATTTTTAAGATTTCTAGAAACATTAAAGATGAACTGCAGCCATTTTCCTAACTGAGTAGAACCCTTTAAACTCTGTTTTCTAGCTTTCATTAATGTGGCATAACCGGTTTGCATTGGCTCCCAGACCTTGAAAATAAGGTAAATGAAGCTTAAGATTTTGAATAAATAGGGGGGATATAGGCAACAGCAGTGTAGCCAACCCTAATATCTATTCATAATGTGCCATTTCCTGTGGCAGTTGATTCTCATGATGAGAGCAAGATGGAAAATATAGCAGTGTTGGTTATGTTATACACAAATGCCAGCCTCCAAAACAATGTTGGCTTACACTGTTATGCCTTTAGTAAACTAAGTAAATTAGGTTTAAACTCATTAAGAAATGGTTTCAAATTTTCCCTGACTTAACTGCAGCACGTTTACTAGGTTATTCATCCACTGTTGCTGGCTTTAATGCTGTACAACTAGGAAGAGGCATTAACTGTTACTATACCTAAGGTATACTTTCTGTCCCATGCCTTTCAATCAGTCAAATATGTTCAGAAATAAAATTTATGTTCTTAACCTACTGGTATATTCTGACCATTTTGCTGTTTGAAAGCAGTGTTCAGTTTGAAATAGTTTCATTACCTTAGTTGACCTTAAGAGCACAGGAATAGCAAGGGTTCATTTGATACCCGAACTTGTGATGTAACAACTTCATTGTTTAATATGATTTGTGATATTTCACACTTTCTAAAATTATGACAGAACGAAGTAGCAACCTCAAGACGATTTCTCCTCTTTCAGTGGCTCTGCTGCAATGGTTCTAATATCTGTAATAAACAGAAAATGGTCCATATTTAATCCTAATTTCTATCCTATGTGGAGGCCAGTTTTCAGGTTCAGAAAAGTAATAAAATATCTGTAAAACCTTATTTGACCAATTTCATTAACGCTCCTTTTGATAACTTTAGTGATCTCTTTATCAACACTAGCAGTCTGTTATGAATATCCAATACTAGGGCCTTGATAGTTTAATTGGTAATGGTCTCAAAATGGTTTCAGTCTCCATTGGCAGGGGAGAAATCAAATGTAGGATTGAGTATTGCACATTTTCATATCATAAGAATTGAACCTGCAGACCAAAGTTTGAAAGAACCTCTGATATCTAGTAGAAATCTGATTCTCCATGGATCTACAGCAACATAATAGAACTTTACTCACAACCACTGTAATACATCTGGTGGCAACAGTCTTTCTTATGGCCTTTTAGTTTTGCTCTCAGTAGTAAAGAGGAATGTTATGTTAAAAATGGATGATTAGCAGATCTTCCATCTCAATTAGTGTTTACTGCAGTAATTTATATTTGGAGACTACCCTGCATTTCAAAAATTGACAATTATTTTGTGAAGCATTCACTCCTGTAAGTCTTCAATCCGCTTGTACATCACATCTTTTCTTTATAGAAAGAACTTGGTTATATGTGGGTGTATCACTCCAAGCTGCCTATTCATTGTGGTAACCCCATGATTGTCATAGGATTCCCTTAGGCGAGGAATACTCAAAAGTAGATTGTCATTGCCTTCCTCTGAAATACAGCCTTAAGGCCATATATTCATTGGCACTCATCCAGGTCTGACTCTGCTTAGCTTTCAAGATCAAGTGCAATCCATTGCATTTAGAGAGTGCTTAGCCTCAACCTTTATGTAGAAATTACTAAATTATATTCAGTAACATCTTACCCACATGAGTGGTCATCCTCACTGATTACAGCAAAGACAGCTTGATAGGAATTTGATTGATCTTGGCTAGCCTTAGAGTTACTCAACTCTAAAGTATTGTGAGGTGTATAATTTTTAAAAATACAGTAGTATGTTACATTATTGCACTCTTCTAATCAGGAATTATTTCTAGTAAATATGGTAATCTGTCAATACAAAGAAGTGATATGGCTCATATAGCTGGTCACTGGTTGTAACACTGAAATTGGGGGAGAATGTATTCCTATGGATTGCTGTGCCATTCTTAACTTCCTACCCAAATTAAAAATCTACAAATGCATGAATTAAGAATAAAAGAAGCCTTTATTCCCCCCTCCCAACTTCATTTTCTTCATCTTAAAGAGTTTATAGTACTGAAAAGTTGTATTGTGTGTCAAAGAGTGATGGATCGCAAATAAGGAGATGGGAATATTTGGGTGTTTCTGGATATGAACTTGCCAAACTGTCATGTTTGAATTGAACCGATAGCAATTTTTAAAACTTGATTATGTTCTGTGAGTAAAAGGAATTTTTAAAGTAATAGCTTACTAAGTAAGCCCTTTTCTTTTAAGAAGTATTTATGCTAAATTACCTTATGATGCCATCCATAAAGCCTGTAAAAGTTGATTTTTAAAAATCTTTTGGTACTTCAAAAGACAAAGCAATTTGGTTTATTATAGTCTCACATTTTTTATGCCCCTAGGGGAAAAATAAAAATGTGAAGAGAAGGTGGCGAGACTATACAGAAGATCTGTATAGGAAGGATAACAATATCGAGGATAGCTTTGACGGTGTGGTGAATGAATTAGAACCAGACATCCTGAGGAGTGAGGTTGAATGGGCCTTAAGAAGCATTGCTAACAACAAGGCAGCAGGAGACGACGGGATCCCAGCTGAACTGTTTAAAATCTTAAGATGATGCTGTCAAGGTGATGCATGCCATTTGCCAGCAAATATGGAAAACACAAGAATGGCCATCAGACTGGAAAAAATCAACTTATATCCCCATACCAAAAAAGGGAAATGCGAAAGACTGCTCAAACTTCCGTACAGTGGCCCTTATTTCTCATGCCAGTGAGGTAATGCTCAAGATCCTGCAAGGAAGACTCCAGAAATACATGGAGCGAGAGTTGCCAGATGTTCAAGCTGGGTTTAGAAAAGGCAGAGGAACGAGAGACCAAATTGCCAATATCCGCTGGATAATGGAGAAAGGCAGGGAGTTTCAGAAAAACATCTATTCTGCTTCATTGACTATTCTAAAGCCTTTGACTGTGTGGATCATAATAAATTGTGGCAAGTTGTTGGTGGGATGGGAATACCAAGCCACCTTGTCTCTCTCCTGAGGAATCTGTACAAGGACCAAGTAGCAACAGTCAGAACTGACCACGGAACAACAGACTGGTTCAAGATTGGGAAAGGCGTACGGCAAGGCTGCATACTCTCACCCAACCTTTTTAACTTGTATGCAGAACACATCATGCGATGTGCGGGGCTGGATGAATGCAAAGCTGGGGTGAAAATTGCTGGAAGAAACATTAACAACCTCAGAGATGCAGATGACACCACTCTGATGGCCGAAAGCGAGGAGGAGCTGAGGAGCCTTCTAATCAAGGTGAAAGAAGAAAGCGCAAAAGCCGGGTTGCAGCTAAACGTCAAAAAAACCAAGATTATGGCAACAAGAATGATTGACAACTGGAAAATAGAGGGAGAAACCTGGAGGCCGTGACAGACTTTGTATTTCTAGGTGCAAAGATTACTGCAGATGCAGACTGTAGCCAGGAAATCAGAAGACGCTTACTTCTTGGGAGGAGAGCAATGTCCAGTCTCGATAAAATAGTGAAGAGTAGAGACATCAGACTGGCAACAAAGATCCGCCTAGTCAAAGCCATGGGATTCCCTGTAGTAACCTACGGATGTGAGAGCTGGACCTTAGGGAAGGCTGAGCGAAGGAAGATCGATGCTTTTGAGCTGTGGTGTTGGAGGAAAGTTCTGAGAGTGCCTTGGACTGCGAGAAGATCCAACCAGTCCATCCTCCAGGAAATAAAGCCCGACTGCTCACTGGAGGGAAGATACTAGAGACAAAGTTGAAGTACTTTGGCCACATCATGAGGAGACAGGAAAGCCTAGAGA